ATTACTGTTGCTTTCTATTTTGATTTTTTATTCATACAAAAAATACAAAATTTACTGTTATGCAGACTACTGCATTATTGTAAAAATGGTATAAATAATATCAGTGCACTAGTGAAAGAATATTAGACTCTCCAGTTGACGTGTATTGGACATGTGTGATTTGCTTACTCTTGAACATTGGTAAAAATCGAACATTTCCGCTACTTTGAGCTCAATTTCAAGGTTGTTTTCATCATAAAACTAATCAAAATCATCTCTGTTTCTGCAGTATATTTTCCATTTTATCACTTGTGACCATGAAAACAAGAATACAACGATAAATACTATACGAATTATTATTATTATAATCAAGGGGGAAGCGCTAAACCCGGAGGATTATACAGCGCCTGGGGGGGGATGTGGAAGGCATTCAGGCTTAATTCGGGGAACTGGAGCACAGATCCAATTCCCTAAATCAAGAGCCCCTCACCAACATCAAGGAACCTTCCTTGAGGGGAATACTATATGAAAATACACCTCAGATTCGGCGTTTTAATCCAAAAAAATGGTCAATTTTCTTTTCTCATTATGCACTGCATGCTGCAGGATTTTTTTTATGTGGTGCACACTGACCACACAGACCCACTCTCTCACATGTGGGCCTACCAGCTTTCTCCTGCTTGATTTGAAGCCGCTAGAATTATTGAGCATATATACCTCCGAAACACTGGCTTGTAAGACGTATATATATATACGACCAAAACAGGCAAAGGGTTAAACTATAATATAATAATCGAAACACTCATTACATACCTTAAAATATCTGTAGTCTTAATGTAGAGTGAGAGGTGAATAAACAAGATTAAATGAATAAATGAGAGAGAATGAGAGTGTAGAAGGTTCGAGAGTTTTGTAAGCAAACTGGTTGTTGTTGTTACCAGCCCGGACACGAATGGTTTTTGTTCACTCTGTCAAGCCGACCAGAAAAACATCTCATATTTGTTAATTTATATGTTTATATACGTAGCATGTTTATTATATAATTTTGAGAAAAAATCAGATGGATTAAGCAAAATGTCTATATTAACATTTTATACACATTTATTTATTTATTTATTTATTTAAAAATTTGAGCACACATACAGAGGTACAAAAAATACAGATAAGAGCAGCATGCCAAAGCCACTTATACTATGCATAGCATTATGGGCTGGCTTAAAATTAACTTAAGATTAACTAAGCAATGATGAAATCAGTGATAAAACTTTAATGTAAACAGATTACTCTAAAGCACAAGTGAGTATTACAAAGACAGGTCATATGGTTGTATGCATTGTTGTACATTCAGTAGAATGGAGTATTCTGTTAGGTAGTGTATTTAAAAAATAATAAAGTTAGATTGGGTTTTAGGTTTAACATTTATGTGATATAATTGTGAGAAACATTTAAGATATACAATTTATAAGGTTCAGTTATTCAGTATTTATTTGGTTTTGGGTGAGTAAGTGATCTTTGAGAAGAGACTTGAATTTATAAACAGGTAGTGTTTCTTTATATTTACAGGTAATGAATTCCAGATTTTAGGGCCTTTTATGTGCATTGAGTTTTTGCATAGTGTGAGATGGACACGAGGAACATCAAAGAGTGATCTGTGCCTTGTGTTATGGTCTTGTGTTCTGTTGAGGTTGGCAAGGAGATGTTTGAGGGGAGGGTTAATATCAGAGTTAAGTGTTCTATGTATGTAATAGGTGCAGTAATAAGTATGGATGTTTTGTATGGTGAGTAGGTTTAGTGTATTGAATATTGGTGGAGTGTGCTGCCTATAGTGAGAATTTGTTATCATTCTAACTGCAGCCTTTTGTTGGGTAATTAGTGGTCTGAGATGGTTACTTGTTGTTGAGCCCCATGCACAAATTCCATAGGTGAGATAGGGGTAAATAAGAGAGTGATATAGGGCCAGGAGGGCTGACTGTGGAGCATAGTACCGTATCTTCGATAGTATGCCTACAGTCTTGGAAATTTTCTTAGAAATTTGTTGTATATGTGTATGAAATTTGAGTCTATTATCAAGGTGGATTCCTAAGAATTTTCCCTCTGTTAGCTTTGTGATAGGTGATCCGTTTATCATTATGTTAAGAGGGACATCTGTAGCTCTGTTACCAAACTGAATGAAGTAGCTTTTGTCAATGTTTAGTGTAAGTTTGTTAGTCCTCATCCAGGTAGATATTTTCTGTAATTCAGTATTTACAGTATTGGCTAGCGTGACTGGGCTCGGGTGGGAGAAGACGTATGTAGTGTCATCTGCAAATAGTGTGGGTTTGAGTAATTGCGAAGCATTTGGTAGGTCATTTATGTATAGGAGAAAGAGAAGAGGGCCAAGGACACTTCCCTGTGGGACACCAACTGTAATTGGTTGTGCAGAAGAGTTTGCCCCATTTGCATACACATATTGGCTTCTGTTGCTGAGGTATGACTTGAGGTAGTTGAGGGAGTGCCCTCTTATACCATAGTGTGACAATTTTATGTGGAGCAAGTCATGGTTAACTGTATCAAAAGCTTTACGTAAGTCAATGAAGATCCCCAGTGGGACTTCTTTTTTCTCTATTGCAGTGTATATATGTTCTAGCATGTGTATAATAGCATCATTAGTATTTTTATTAGGCCTGAATCCAAATTGGCAGGGGTTGAGTATGTTTTGGGAGATAAGGTAGGAGTAGATTCGCTTATGAATTAATTTTTCGAAGATTTTTGAGAGAGGGTGTAAGTTGGATATTGGCCTATAGTTATTCAACTCTGTTTGGTCTCCTCCTTTGTGGATCGGGGTGACCCTTGCTATTTTGAGTACTGTAGGGAAGGTGGAGGATTCAATGGATTTGTTAAAGAGTGTTGCAATGATTGGTGATAGCACTTGTGACACTTTTTTGTATATAAAGGGTGGTAAGGTATTTAAATCTCCTGCCTTGTTTTTTAGTGTGTTGATAAAAAGGGAGACTTCGTATGGGTTAGTCGGAGCTAGGAACAGTGTGTTCGGGTAGTTGCCGGTGAGGTAGTCATTTGGTGGGGTATCTGAGCTTGGGATTTTATTGGCAAGGTTTTGTCCTATAGTGGAGAAGAAGTCATTGAGTCTGTTTGCTGTTTCTATTGGTGGGAGTTGGGGTTCATCTGATTTTGCTAATTTTATTTCGCTATTTCGTGATATCTTTTTTGATCCTAGAATTTCTGATAGGGTTTTCCAGGTCTTTTTTATATCACCTCGTAAGTTGGATAATCTGTTCTCATAATACAATTTTTTTGCCCTTCTTATCAGGCTGGTTAGGATTGACGAGTAACGTTTTGTTTGGTCTCTGGTTATGTGACCCATTCTGTACTGTTTTTCATATTGGTGTTTTGTATTTATGGATTTGAGAATGCTGGGTGTTAGCCAGGGACTGTTCAGTCTCTTAGCTGTCATCTGTTTAGTTTTTTTAGGGCAGTGCTTGTTATAGAGGTATTGGGTCTTTTTTAGAAAATTATTAATACATTCGTCAATATCTGTATAGATTTCTAGCTCAGTGTGCCAGTCAATGTTTGCTACTGCTGTTGTGAAGTTATTAATGGCTGCCTCATTGTGAAGTCTGAAGGTGACTTTAGTAGTGTCTTGGGGTAATTTACCAAGAGTTGTTATGAGAAAAGTAGGGTAGTGGTCTGTGGTATTATCTGTAATTATGCCTGATTTTAAAGGGGATATGGTGTTGGTCCAGATGTGGTCAAGTAGGGAAACACTAGTCTCTGTAACTCTTGTAGGTTTTGTTACTGTTGGTAGCAACATACAGTTACTCATTGTGTTTGTGAATTCAGTAACGTGTGGGTCCTGGTCTTGGAGGAGATTTATATTGAAGTCACCTGAGAGTAGTAAGTGATCTTTGTTCATGCGTGCATCAGTTATCATACTTCCTAGGTTTTGACTAAATTGGCTAATGTTTGACTGTGGAACTCTGTAGATGTTTATCAATGTGAGAGGTTTTTGTAGGTATTTGGATTTGAATTTGGCTATTATATATTCCCCATGTTCATCCCTTGTGCAAGTATTAGTGATACATTCTAGTTGGTCTGAGTAGTATATGGCTGTGCCACCCCCTTGTTGGTCTGGCCTACAGTTGTGTATGGCTGTGTAACCAGGAATGGCATAGACATCTGTACTATCAGGCTTTAGCCAGGTTTCAGTTAGTGTAATGATGGACATATTGGCATGTAAGGAATTTAGTAATGCTATGAGGTCATCGTAATGCTTGCTTAAAGATCTGATATTGTAGTTAAAGATAGTTATGTTGTTGTTGGCACTGAGAAGTGCCTTTGATTGTTCTGCAGTGTAGTAATTACAGTAACTGTTTGATTCATTTAAGTCATTAAATAAGAGGTTGGTATCAGGATCAATGCTTGTAATCATAAGATTTGTAGTGAATCTATAGTTAGAATTAAGTATAAAACAAAGTAAATAGTCTTAAGCTAAAAAATAGCTCGGTGATTATTATTGTTATCATTATTAATATGGCATTTTCAAGACCAATTACCCTCTTAATGAGTGACTGAGACAGATAAGCAGAAAAGACATCACACAGGTAGACACAGATATACAGGCAGACAGATACAGGTTTATGTGCAACAGTAAAAATAAATAGAGAGTTCGAGAGTAAGAGCCTTTCTTGCCACAGTCTCCAGTGCAAGATTCAGACTTCATCTTAGGGGCCATGGTGAAATTTACTGTCCACTTAATACAGTATGATGCTGCTGATAGGACAGGGTTACTCAAACTGATGCTGCCTGCATGGCGCATTGCCGCTGCGAGTATTGTCAAATATTGTACAAAGGTATGCATCAGCCAGCCCAGCCCAGCTGCCAGATGCACAGTCGTATGTCGAGCAGGTCATAAGTCGGATGGTAGGTGTATGTGTTTTGCTGAGAATTAAAGTAACATTTATATAGAAAGTGAAATGTCCATTTATTTATAAGAAACATTTGGCTGATCATCTTTCTTTCCCCAGATTTATGAGTCTGTGAATTGGAATTATTTGGAATAATACTGAAGAAACTAATTGAAGATATAATTAGAAAAGAATAATGCAGCATTGACTGCAAAAGTGAGTATATTAAATGTGTCAATCCTGAAAAGCTGCCTCAACATTTCTTATTAGAGGGATACACACTGCAATCCACTGCTATTCTGTAGGTATCAAAATTGTCATTGCCTACATGTGCTTCATGTTTTAGCTTAAACCCTTTAAAAATGATACTGTGCTTTTTTTTTTTTTTTTTTTTTTTTTTATTTGTTCACTTGCTGTATATGAAATGTATCCCTACAACAGGACAATACTTTATAGATTTTAGTCTTTGTCCTAGATTTTAGTGGCTTGATCAAGAGCATAATCAAAGCTTGTATAAGAGGTGTCAATCAATGCTTTGGAAAAAGTTAATAATTTTTTACAATTGTGTAAGAGGATTAGTCACGTCTTGAAGCTCTTGCTCTCTGGCAGTGAAGGTTTATAAAATTGATTTTGTCCTAGGTGATGAACATACCACCACTTGGCTAGATTTGATAAGAAGTGCTACCTTTTTCCACTGAGGTACCTTTTTAAAAAAATCCATTGTATAATTTACACTGGTGGTGTCAAATATTTTGAAAGTTTTGTCTTTTTTTTCACATTTGTGGCCAGTATTTTCAATATGAAGTGCTATTTCTAAGCAAATATTTAGATTTTCATGCCTCTGTAAAAATTTTTCATTGTCATTTTGAGGTATGTACTGTATAAAGCTGCCAAAATGTGTGAAAAACCTATTAACATTGTCAAAACTAACTCAAGGAAGGAAAACAATCCCAGCACATTTTGTCCCCAAAATAACCGATATATTGTGGGCATGTTATGGCTCGAGAGTGTGTGTGTGTGTGTGTGCAAGCTGTCCCTATTATAAGAGTCAAAATACAAGACTTCATTAAACATCCATGCCTTGGTAGCACAAGACTTAATTCTGTACATGTAACTATGTAATTCTATAGCACAGACACCTCACTGGGTAATGTGCCAGTCTTATGAATGTTGGCATTCAAGATAAGCATCACATGCCAGGGAGAATGCTGGTGTGCATTGTTTATGCTATATTGGTTATATTCTGGCTATTCCAGTCATGATCACTGCAATGTTTAATACTGTATGTTTTAATATACTGTGCAATTTGACCATATTTAATGTAACATGCATGACTAATTAAAGCACTATTGTGTATTGCTTGGAAATGCTTTGAGTAAATTGAATTTGTGTTCTTTCCCCCTCTAAAATTATTGAGGTTGTGTTGATATTTCAGTCACATGCCTTGGATAATGAAGGTATTTGTTTAATGCTTGTTTAGAGCTTACCAGTAAACAAAATTGAGAAATATCAAATTTATTTTTTTTGCCAATGATTAGAGATACAGTAATTTATTTGGTTACCTAGTCAGCCAATATAAATTTGCAGTTAATCTGCTGCAATTAAGAAAGCTATCTGTACCTCAGATTGCTTACATATATTTTTAATGCTAAAACTTTAACTTAAAATGCTCTAGGAGCTGGGTATTCAAAGTTCCTTCTGTGTTTGTTAATTACATATTTAAACAAGTCATCTGACTTGCTGGGAAAGTTACCATTTTTTTTTTATGAAAATAAATGCCAGAGACGACAATAGTGAATTGACTAGCAGGGATAAAGTAGAAGTCAGTATGTTATTTAGAATTCAGCATTTTCATTTCTTTTGAAGCTAATGTCTATAAGAAGTAAAACAGTAGAATTGCTGAAAGTTATTTTTTTACCATGTGGAATTTCTGTTGTCAGATAAAAATGATTCAACATGTAATATTTAAGGCATTTCGGTCATTCATGTATTAGATGTAGGATTGTGCACAAATTTAGGCCTAGCATTTTTTAAGAACTTGTTGCTTATAACATTGGCCCTTGAATTATAACCACTAATTTATTTTTGTAATTACAATTTATCTTAGAAATCATTTTGTATATAGGTTTGTAAACTTTTTCTTTCTCCCCCTTAATTAAATTATTAAAAAGCACTAAACCACAAGGGCCCCCTAATTAAAAGGATGTGTTAAAAATATGATATCCGATTATTATTATTATAATCAAAAAAGAAGCGCTATACAGTGCTGCAGGGCAGGAAGGAAGCGAGGGCATCAGGTGGCAAAAGGGAGATGGATGAGTAATAGGTTACGGATAACAGCGGGGCAGTGGATGGTGAAAGGGTAAAGGGCAGCAAGAGACTGAACTAGAAAGGGCTGAGGGGAGTGCAAAAAGTATCATCAGAGTTTGTGGAGTAAATCAGTCATTGTCAAGAAGTCAATGAGAGAGTCAGGATTAAAGGAGGGTCCATCAGCAAGAAGGGAAGGTAGAGAGAGAGTAGTAGAACGAAGACGACGTTGGAATCCGAATATTGACCCGTTGTAGCAGAGAAAAAGGGAAAAATTTTAATGTTAAATTCTCCAAGCTCTTCCATTTGTATCAAGAGAATATGCAGCCTATCCAGTCTTCAAGCTCTATTATTATTTATCATCATCATGAGTAAGCATGAACTTGTAGAGCTCATGCAGCACCCCCTCAACTTCAAAGAAATTTGATTCTTAAATTTTCTACTGCAGTTTGTTTGCATTAGGTGAATCATATTTGTTGTAACCTGCACATTTACCTGTGGGTGTGCTCTTACAAAAGCTGAATGCCAGTACTGGATTCTCAACTCATCCATTTCAGTATTTTTTTTTTTTTTTTGAGACTAGGTTCAGCAGAGTGAGTGACACTATGTGAAGACATTTAAGGTTCAAGCTTCAAGTCTTCTTGGTGGTTCCCCATTTTCTGTTCATACATTAATTCATTTGTGTGTTAATGTATAGTACAATTGGTTGAATTTGGTTATTAACCTAACTAGAGTAATTAGTAATTGTTCAAGCTTAAACATATACTATAAAGACCAACATTTGTTAAGTAGTCAGGTTGAAATGCTTGGCAGTTATCTTCTTGCTATTATACCAAGTTGATATTAAAGTAAATAAAAAAAAAAAAAAACGGTGCAGTGCTGTTCAGAGACTTGTGACAATGCTTCGGTCTGCCTTGGATCATTAACTAGTTGTCTTCTACGTGCAGGTTATTTTTGACGTTAAAATACCTTTCAGTATTCCAGTATTAATACTGTTGAAATATTTAAAACCTATTCCTTAAGTATATAATAAAAATGAGAAGATAGCATAACTAATTTTGTTATGGTCTTAATTTTAGCTACAATTTACACTCCTAGTGCTTAACTTTTTACTTTCTTGTACCCCTCTTGATTTTGCATTCCTTTTTCATTTTGGTTTTCCATTTTTTTTTTTTGTGTTAATTAGCTCTAATACACTGAGTTCTGATTGTACTAGTCTGCATATCTACCAAGTTTATAAAATTATTACACAGCTCAACATGCATGTCAGCCTCACCATTTGTGGTTATTTCTAACTTCCGAAGTGCGTTACAAGCTATCTAGAAATTACTTTTTTTGTCCTTTTAATACAAATTTTTGGTAATGTTGTATTTCTAGTATATAAAATATTTCTTTTGCTTGGTCCTTGGATATGCCAATGTTCAAGGCAATGAACAAGCAACTCAGCCACTTTGTTGGCTATTCATGAATTACCAATTTCCTACAAGGAGTCTACCTACCGACCTGGAGGATACTACTTTTTCTGACTTTGTACTTTCTCAGCAACTCTGCAATTATTGGCAACAATGTTGGTTCAAGTTAGAATGCAGTTGTTATTTATCAAACCACAACTAGGATTCTGGCAATCTTCCCAACACTGTTGGGTTGGGAAACTTCACTCATTTATGAATTAAACTACGAGGCTCACATAGATAAAATGGAGAAACTAGCACCACTGTGTTGACTGCCAAATTGCACTGTCAGTTCACCAGATCTTAATAGATTGTCCTGTCTATCAGCAGGCATGCAGGATTCGCTTCTGACATCTACAATGGCCTAACATGCTCCAATTAATATCTGACTTGAACAGGGGCTAACCTATTGCACCACCTATAATTTCATTTTTGCTCACTAACCCCTACCCTTGTACACCCTTACCCCTTGCACATCCCTACCCAGTGCTGTGTGAAATGTGGGGGTTTAGCTCTTAATTTGATTATAATGTAGTAGGTAGGTAAGGTTCGTCAGGAAACAGGACAAATGTTTCCTGACGCGGGTCTTAGTCAGATGATGACCCGCCTTTGGAGCTTTTGGTCATCTGACCGAGGCCTTCCGCTGGCTTACCGGTCCACCCCTTTAAAAATTATGGTCATTTATAACCATGGTTAATATATTATAATGTATTATTCAAATTGACCTCGTTGCCGAAAGTCCTGTCTTTGGCGCAAACTCTCTTGCTTTCAATGGAAATTAATCTGTTGCACCAGCCATATAAATTTTACACACTTGCTCACTCCCACCTCTGCCCATTGCCTCTACCAATCTACATTCAACTTCATAGCTTTACATGTCAGTGGTGCTCTGGGTCCCATCTCATTTATATATGGGTATAGAGCCAATGACTTTCCAGCAAAGCTAGTGCATTTTGCATGACCATTATGTTACTGTAATTGCTAATTCCTAATACCTTTCCAAAACTGTTGAAGGGCTACTTCACTTGCTATTCAGAAAGTATACTATTTTTGCTGGGTCTCTGGCCATGTGGTGTCTAGGACAATGAATTTACACACTTCATTCTGCAGTCCAGGGATACACCCTATTCAGATTTTTTTTTTGTGAGTGTTCGGGATCGATGGAAACGTCACTAGTCCAACTTAGAGGGCACGTTCTGGTTCTTGCATTGGCTGTACAAGACTGACACAGCTATCATACGTGAGGCACACAGCATCTGTCTGTACCAGGCTTAGTTGACTAATACCTTTTGCTTAATTGTACCATTTATCAGAGTTCATAGGATTCATAGTCTATCAGCACCTGGATGCTTTTGCATTGCCTGTTCTTTCAAAAAGCCCTACTTTCAGCATATATGTGCACACATTGATTCATTAAGCCCAATTAACTTTCCTTGTTCGTTCATAGGTTCACCTGTCACACTTCTTTCCAGTGTAATTTCTTGATACTATGGTTATAATTATAACCTTAATTTTTACAGGGGTGTACCAGTAAGCCAGCGGAAGCCCTCGGTCACATGACCGAAAGCTCCAGTTGTGGGTCATTCATCATATGACTAAGACTCGAGTCTGGAAACACTCTTGCTGTTTCCTGACTAATCTTACTGAGCCTAATTACTTCCCTTGGCAAATGGCTCCCCAAAGCCTGTGGCATTTTGTGACCCATATGAGTTACCTACACTTCGTGAATATAACTCACCTATTTTGTGGTTTACCTGGTTCTGTATACAACTTTTCCTGTATATTATCCAGGGTGAAAATTTAATGTAGTCAAACATTTCACTCATAAGAGAGGCTTTATAAAGTACACTGACTCCTGGTATAACCAAATAAGCATTGTTCTTCCCATCCTGTAACCACTACTCTGAAATCTCCATCCTTACCAGTTACTTCCTGTGCATATTTGGGGAGAGTTTTTCCCCATCAGAAGGGCATATTCCTCTCGTCTTAATTCACCTTCATTCCACCTTTTAATATACTAAGTTCTTGTCAAACATGTCATGGGGTCCCATACAACTATTGCTGCTGCTTAAGGCCTTAGCCTGGTATAGGTCTTGAATGTCTTTCCCTTTCCCCCCACCCCACAGTGAAGGCAGGTTTCTTCCTGTAATAACTGTTGTGGCATGACCCAAATGTTGGCGTTATGCACGTACGTGAAATTGATCGCCATTGCCAGACCAGTGCTTTCCAACCCAGAATAACATCTCAGCTTTGGTGGTCCCCACAAAGGTCACTAACAATAGTGTAGTCTAAGCTTCTTAATTCCTTTATACAACACATGCTTGTGTACTAATTCTATTGAAATATGCATTAATTCATGTGCACACATTACCCTTTCACACTTTTGTGCTGTAATTAGTTTATGTATAGATTAGTTTTACTGAGTTGCCTTAATTGAAATGAATATATTCCCAGATCTTTACAGATAAACTGCAACCACTTTTCCCACTGCCTCCTTTTATTACCATCACCATAAATGGGATTTAATTTGGCTAGACAACTAGACCCACAAATTTAGCATAAACAAACCAAATGTAATCTGAAATATAAACCAAACCACAGCCCGAGTGCTGTTGTCCGGTATTAATGTCACAGTTGTCTTAATCTGTAAATTATCTAGTATTTCTATGCTTTTCACTTCATCACATGGGCATTTATTTACCTACACCTTAAAAAGGTAGCCACATACTAAAACTACCCTAAGCAAAGAATCAGCTCTAGCCATGAGCCAGGTTCATGTTACTAAATTACATTGTGGTACACCGAGTAAACTTAAGAAAATACTTTGACACAGCAAAAAGCTCAATATCCTTATTTCTGTCAGGGTGTGCAGAGTTCCTTACCTTTCCTGATTATTATTATTATTATCAAGGGGAAGCGCTAAACCCGGAGGATTATACAGCGCCTGGGGGGGGGGATGTGGAAGGCATTCAGGCTTAATTCGGGGAATTGGAGCACATCCAATTTCCTAAATCAAGAGCCCCTCACCAACATCAAGGAACCTTCCTTGACGGGACATTACCTTTCCTGAAAAACAGTATGAAAAGAGCACTGGTGTTTGAGAAGTATCAAACATTTTAGGCAATGGAGAATGTTAACAAGATTGTAGAACTTGGATGCCAGTATGACAGTACATTACGTTCTTTTTTCCTTTGTTGTAAGTGTTCATTTTTTTTAAGGACATTATGAAGTTTTCTATAAAATTGTGAATGTTATCACTACCAGCATGTCATTTTGTGTACAGATGTTTCAAATACAGATGTGTAAAACAAGTAGGGTCATTTTTCCAGCCACTGCACTCAAATTTATAGTGCTAAAAGAGGTCTTGTGTAAATAGGTTTAATGAAGTAAACCAAAGTGTTTTAGCGTATGTCCAGCAAGGCTAATTGCAGTTGTAGGTAGATGTGTGAATGAAGCTTAATTTTATGTATGTAGACATTTGTCTAAATTTTTTTATTGAATTTTATTTCAGATGTGTGATTGAAAGCTGTTAAATTTTATTTTAAATCTTGTCGGCAAGGAAGCATAATGGTTAATGTTCAAAATACTGAAGACACTAAATGTGCTACAGTAATAGAATGAATCTTTGTATTCATGTGTACAATTTGAAGTTAATCCAAAAAAAAAGACTACTGGAGTGTCTTGCAAGTGAGTTAGAAAACTACAGAAGTTTATAATACAAAATTTCTATTCTACATTCCTCTTGAGTACTGAGGTACTCTCCTGCTTGAATCCATCCAAATCAGTATAGGTCTAACAGGAGGTTTAGAGCAATCACTTCAATAGGTAACAATTGTGCTACTTTTATCTTTCCTAGTTTCACAATAAAGAGTACTTAGGATAACATCCTAATGTAGTAATACCTAGTCATTAATATATCAAGACTAATATCCTGTACAGTACTCAAGCATTTTATTTACTAGGCAAGTTCATGGGAGTGTGAATACTCAATAGTACCTAGAATTTGCTTGCTCTTACACTCCTGTACTGTCAGGCTCATTTTCATGAGAATTTAAGATGTTACTTGTGACAAACATCAATATAATTTTATTTACTAGCATCCAAATTTTGGTATATCAAGTTTAGTGCCTATTATTTGGTACAGTACTTATTTTATTTTGTATATCCCTTTGCTTGGTAATAGTCTAAATTACACTGTGAAAAATGCACTGGATGGGTATAATTGTATGCTAGAATGGGCAGTTTGGTCCGAATATAACTTGCTACTCAAAGCCCATTCACAAATAATTTCAGTTTTCTTAAGTGAAAAGTCTTAGGCATTGAAAATAAGTATTGTTCAAACTGTACTTGTAAAACATTAGAACTCAATTTTTATGAATACTGCATTATTTGGTCATTACTACTTTGCACAGTTTTAAGTCAGTCTAGCCAAAAAAAACAAAAAAAATTGTACAGTTTCAATAGCATTGGTCACAAATGTCCAAAATTTATTATATGTCCTTTAAAGACATTTTATGTATTTTCCTATATATTTGTGTATAATGAATAAATGTAAGTGTCACAGTGTAGGTTTCATTTCTCTAGGACATTCCTCTATCTTCATTTATAAAGTCCTATAAATTGTATTAGTATAAAGAACTAAACCCATGGGTTATTTGGCTGTGTGGCAAATGTTAGCAGATGAGGTCACAGTATAAATATCAATTTTATAATTCAGTCGATTCAAAAATTTTCAGGGATGGCACTTTTTTTTTTTTTTAACACGTCTGCCATTTCCCACCAAGGCAGTGACCCCAAAAAGAAAAAACTCTTCAACACTTTTCACTCATACATAATCAGCCTTTGCAGAGGCACTCAAGATACATAACAGTTTAGATGTCCCACCCACCTGCAAATACCCCAAACCCTTTCAGGGTTGGTCCCATATATGTACGGCTTGAGGGCGTGTTGGTCCCGTATATAAGAACATAAGAAAGGAGGAACACTGCAGCAGGCCTGTTGGTCCATACTAGGCAGGTCCTTTACAATCCATCCAGCTAACAAAACATTTGCCCAACCCAATTTTCAATGCTACCCAAAAAATAAGGTCTGATAACTCTATCCACTAATATATGCAAGTCCCGCTCAAATCCAACCCCTCTCGCTCATAAGAACATAAGAATGGAGGAACACTGCAGAAGGCCTACTGGCCCATGCAAGGCAGGTCCTTATCAAAACGACCTCTACCTAAAGCTACCCAAGAAATAACTCCCGTACCCAATGACACCAATCAAGCCCAGCCCCTCCCACTCATATTTGTCCAATCTCTTCTTAAAGCTACCCAAGGTCCTAGCCTCTATCACCCAACTGAGAAGATTGTTCCACACATCTACAACTGTTAGAAAACCAGTACTTACCTATGCCCTTTCTAAATCTAAATTTATCCAACTTAAATCCATTACTTCTGGTTCTTACCTGGTTCGACACCCTCAGTACTTGATCAATATCTCCTTCGTTTATGCCCATCATCCACTTATACACTTCAATGATATCTCCCCTCATTCTACGTCTCTCCAGAGTGGAGATTTAAGGCTTTAAGTCTATTTTCATACGGGAGATTCCTTACACAGTAAATCATTTTAGTCATTCTTCTCTCTATGTTCTCTAATGAGTCTACATCCATCCTGTAGTAAGGGGACCAAAACTGAGCATCAATCTAAACGAGGCCTTACTAGTGATGTATAGAGCTGTAAAATAACTTTTGGACTTCTGTTACTTATACTTCTTGAGATAAATCCAAGTAATCTGTTAGCCTTGTTGCGCACACTAAGGCACTGCTGTCTTGGCTTTAGATTTCTGCTTACCATGACTCGCATCTTTCACATTCTGTATGATCAAGCTCTACTTCGCCTAGATTATAGCTTCGAGGGTTATTTTCATCTGCCATATTTCAGACCAAGACATTAATTTGTCCAAATCCTCCTGGAATTCATTGCTATCCTCCTCAGAATGAATTATACAGCCTATCTTTGTATCATCAGCAAATTTACTCACGTTACTCGTAATCCCTTCATCAAGGTCATTAATGTAAATTATGAAGAGGGCCTAAAACTGATCCTTGTGGAATGCCACTAGTGACTAATCCCCATTCAGATTTCATCCCATTAACCCTTTCAGGGTCCAAGGCCAAAATCTGAAGTGGTGCTCCAGTGTCCAAGAAATTTGGGAAAAAAAAAAAAAAAAAAACATCTTACAGAATTAAAGAGCATATTTTTGTGAAGGTAATAATAAAAAAAAAATCTGATCAGTACTTACCGAGATACAGTGCCAAGAAGTTTGTCAAAAATGATGTGGTGGCGGCAACATCGACAAATTCCACATACGCGCATTACATTATTTTGTGGTTTTAGTTGTTTTTTCTTTTCTTTTCCAATTTTTTTCTATTCCTACTAGCATTTGGGGCCTGAGAGACCAATACTGTATATAATGTATATATATAAACTCACTGTATTGAACCAATAACCGCACTAAAGTTATCATATTATTGTTTACCACTGTTGTTTATTACAATAAACATGCACAAATATTGTATAATACTAATGTTCTATCATATATTTACATATTTACAATCACTGGACATGGTTTTAGAACTCCTGGAGCTTGTGAAACTCCTTGAAACAAGGCACCATGCACAGAGGCACCTTTACATTCCTACACATAAACCGAGTGCTTTGCGTTTTTGTTGCCATCGTTTGTTGGTTGCACAGACAATGCATCTCTTCTGAGCAAATTTCTTCTGAGTTGAATGAAGCTGTATTATGAAATGATCACCTCTCCTCAAACGCTTGGGTATATCCTGAGGAATTCGAGGACCATGTTGTACAGCAGTGTTGTCACCTGGTACTTCATTAGAGTTGCCCTGACAACAGACAAACAAAATTCACCATAACGGTGGTCTGTTGCCAGTCTTTATTTGGTACATATTATATGCTTTTGAGCATTGAAATGTCCATGAAGATGGAAGAAAATTTTTAAATGTACCACTTGTAACTTTTACAAACACAGCCCAAAAAAACCAATCTGCATGTCACACTTGTAAACCAAGCCCCATTTTTTTGTGTATAATCAATCACTGACACGGGTTTTTTGAATATGTTCATTAGTCACTCGATCAACTTTGCCACTGTCTTGCATTTCATTACGTGAATGGTTGTCAACAATGTGACATCTCTTTTGTCATGCCAACCGTAATGCCATGTCATTGGCAGTAAACACCTGCACGTCATCACGACGAGCACTGCATTGAGCCTGGCATATGTTTACTATTAGAACGCACTGTGCCACACATCTGTCTTGTTCACTTCGCATGAAATCACTGATAATGGGCTTGTGTACCAGTTATGGTATATAATGTATGCCCCTTACCAAGATAAGGTACCATCATGTTCTCACAAACGTCACCTGAGATACCCAATAACATCTTGTTACTTTCAATGTTTTTACTACCCGTGTATACAACAATATCCAACACCGGGCCACTGCACAATCACAGAGTACAAACAGTTTTTATACCAAAGCGTTTTCCTCTTGCTCGGTATATACTGCTTGAATGACAGTCTACCTTGAACAAAATCAACTCGTCAATTACAAGATTCTTTGAATGGATAAAAGTATATCCTGAATTTTTGTTTGAGATACATGAAAACATTTCTAATCTTGTATAACCTGTCACTTCCCGTCAGGCCTGGTTTTGTCAGAGAAGTGCAACATACGTAAGAGTAAGATAAACCTGTTCACATGGTATGATTTCACTGAAGACCGGGTAGAAATTAGCTGATATGTGGACCAGTATGCTTTTATATTATGCTTATAGACGTGAGGCATAAGCATTATGTTGCAAAAAGCAAATACATTTTTGCAACAGTTGTTCTCTTTCCACCTGTGTAGTCTTGAACTGTGGTGATAAGATGTATTTGCCATGGTGTACTCAAAATACTTATTAATTTCCCCTGACAATAATTTCCATCAATGGCTGGTCAAAGAATAATTCAAAGAATTCCAGTTCATTGGCCGTGGTTCCAAGGGACAAGTAGGTAGAATTCCACTTTGAGAATCATCAAAGTGGTGAGGGCTTGGGAACAAAATTGGGATTTGCTGCCAATCCCACATACGGTTTGCTGGTGGATACTGGACATCATAGGCTGGTTGTGCGGGTGGTTGTGGTGGGCTGGTGGCTGGCGCTCCGCTTTGTCCTTGAACTGACGAGTCAGCATGGTCCCAGCGTGGCCTGGTGAGTCACGCATGGCGGGGGCCACTACCATCATCACTAAAAACCATCCACTGATGCCTGTGGTCAATCCATGCCAAGTGTAGCCACATCATCCTCACTATCACTACCTAAAACTGGTGTTGGGCCACGGGATGTACTCCGTCCCCTGGGCACAGCATAGGGTACACTACCCGAGCGCATGCGGCGGCGAACATACCGACGCTTCACTGGTGAATATGATTCCTCACTATCACTACTCGACTGATCGTCGAGCGCAATAAAATCACAGTCCATGTCACTATCATCATCATTACTGAAGTCAGAGGCCTGACCACGCGAAAATAAATTAGTTTTCTCTTGCGATGAGGAACAACCGACCGTGAGTCACGATGCCCACACCAAGGGAGAAGGTTGAGGATCGTCAGGGTTTTCTGCACTATTAAAACGATATCCTGGGCATTCTTTTCGGTCACTAACTGATCAAAGCCTAGAATTCGTCCCTTTATTTCCACTTCCAAACAGTGTCAGAACTATCAGATAGGAAGAGGAGAGTCCCAATTTTCCGGGGAGTGAGAGCCGACTTGCGACGAGGCATGGTGAACAAGGGTAACTGAGCCGGCGTTCCCACAATGCTATGCGGGCGCCTAGATTTTTTGTTTATGGCGCACACCCACCACGCAGACCCGTTCTCTTACATGTAGGCCTATGAGCGTTTTCGCGCTAAATTTGACGGCGCTAGAATTTTGGCATAGATCTACGGTTTGGACACTCAACGTAAAGCCGTTGATCTACGGGACGGACCCTGAAAGGGTTAATGGTAACTCTCTGCTTTCTATTGGTAAGCCATGCCTCTATTCATGCTAGAACTTTACCTCCTATACCATGAGCTGCCACTTAAGTCTCTTGTGAGGTACTCTATCAAAGGCTTTACTAAAATCCAAATAAACAATATCATATTCTTTATCACTGTCAACTGCCTCAAACATTCCATTAAAGAACGTCAGTAAATTTGTCGGGCAGGAACGACCTCTCGTGAATCCATGCTGAGATTCATTTATCAAGTTATGCTCTTCAAGGTGACTTCTAATAATGTCAGCTATAATAGATTCTATAACTTGCCCACTATAGATGTCAGGCTTATTGGAGGGTACTTTGAAGGAGTGGACTAATCCCCTGATTTGAATATAGGAACCACATTAGCCATCTTCCACAACTCTGGTACAACACCGGTAAGGATGGACGCTAATATTAAACACACTCGTTAATGGCTGACTAAGCCATTCTAGCGCCTTCAAACCTGGTGAAAGTAAGTGGG